AGCATCGGTGCGCATCGCTTGACCGACCGAGCTGCCCGCACTGATCGGTGAGACAATTATGCTCTCGCAGCGCTGGCGGGGGTGTGAGCTTGTGGCGGCAGCAAGGGCAGTTCTTCTGCCACGCTGTGACGATTTCTGGGAGCGACGATCCTCTCCCCCTCCCCCCCGGGGCTTAGAGGCCTGGACACGCCAATTGTTGTTTTTAAGGCCGTTGTTCTCACGGATCTTGCGCTACCGCGCAGGGGCCAGCCACATGCTGGTGTCTCTCGTGCGGACAAGGTCTGGTGGGCTCCTGCATTCCGGGGTAAGGTAGGGATGTGTGCGCCCCGGACCAGACAGGAGTCCTCACGCGTACGGAACCCGCCACCAACCACCACCACCACCGCACGATGCGCAGACAACCGGTAACCGAGCAAGGTATTTTGGTACCATGTCATGCATGGTAGAAGTTTCCCAAGAGCAGCCGGACGAAGCCCAGGATGTGCAATGCTCCGCGTCCAGCCCACCGGCCTCGGCCTGAACTGAACCTCTTCGGGTAGGTAGTTGTAGGAGAGAACTGAAACGGCTGAGCCGAGTGGGATCGTCATCGCGACAGCACTGGCTGATCGCCCAAGGAAGGAGTGAAACTCAATATTCAATTATGCACCTCGACAAGGTGCCGGTTGCTGACGGTTTACCACTTTTGTGACGGGGGGGAGGGTGGACAGCGTCTATTGAATAAAAGCCTCGACTCTTGTGGTGAGTGAGCTGACACTGGCCAGGGTGCGTTCAGTCAATTGGACGGATTGTGGAACAGTATCTTTTGACGTAACAGCTGGTTATGTTTGTGTAATGGCTCAGGTGCGTGAAAGCTGATGGATGCCAAGACGGCGGCTCGGGAGGCACTGTCGTCTGGGGCTTGAAAAGATGCAAGTAGAGACTGTGCGAGGCAGGTCTTCATACTTCCGACGTTTGCTTGCTGATGGGTGCTGTGGCCTGCGGAGCGGACACTGCTGGCCGGGCCACAGTCTGGGTCGACACGACGCTTTTCGTCTTTGTGAGTAGAAAGAAGACAGAAACACCGGAGAGACAGCGAAGTTTTCGGCGCGTGGACCTTGAGCCCAGATCCCAGATCCCAGATCCTAGATCCCAGACCAAGAACAAGTGGTCAAGTTGTGTCCGGTCCAGATGCGGGCCAAGGCCGGCATGGCGTCCCTTGTTCTCCTGCCATGTCCCTCCCCCCCTGAGGCGCTTCCCACCAGGGCCGCAAGGGCCAGCTCGTGGCCTCGACTGGATCGACAACTGTATTGTACAAGTATTGCTGCGGATAAGGCATTCACATCGCCGTTGCGAAACGAGTCTTAAAGCCGATGCATGACTGGTGATGGAAATTCTTCTCGCCAGGATCCTGAATCATGTGCTACAATAATCGATGCTGGTAGATATACGTAGGCATTGTCATATTTGACATCATATCAAAATGAGTCCTGTGTATCCATGACCATGGCGTTTGAATTCGGGGAAGACATGGTGTCCGGGCGTGGACCGAGGACAGTGACTGCGATGGGGTGGGTTGTTGGTCCATGCTAGGGTGTTCTGCTGCCCTACGGAATGTGAACGGCAAGTAGTAGCGTGCATAACATGAGGATGTCCGATGATGAAAACGATATGAGTTGTGACATGCCCTTCTGAAATAGCACAAAGGAACACGTCCGCTAACCAGGTCGGCACGGCGGCTTCAGTGGACCATCTTGAACGCTCCCATGTCCTGCAGTGGTGCTATCGCATCCCTGGTAGGAGGGGAGGAAGCCATCCGCAAAGGAGCGAAGGACACTTGGCCGCATCCTCTCGGCAGGCGCCTCCATTCACATGCATGTCGTTTTCCCGGAAAGTTCTTCCTGCCCGTAGCCCACAGGACGGCTCCATTCAGCTCCATTGAGCATGGTAGCGTCTGACAGTAGAAGAACTGGCAAACGATCTGCGTTTGTACGCATATGTGGCCATGCCATCCTAGCTTCTCACTTGGCCGGCGCAAGCCTTACAGTACGCCATAATTGTGGCTGCTCTCGAGGCCAATAAAAGACAAGCTGAATATGCTGTGCCGTAGGGGGACATCTCCGGTGGCTGTCATTCTGGAAGGAAGTGGTACTTACTGGGAGCTGTGGTACAGATAAATGCAGCGAAGATCGTATGCAACCAGCCCAGCGAGGTGGGTGACCGTTATGCCATAGTCTCAGTGATCAGAGCTATGTGGCGTGAAAACAGTACTCTTTGCGAACTGGAGTGGCGGCTGAGCGTGAGTACAGTGGATTGTCCACGTTCACTTGGCCGTCGTGACATGACTGATCCCCCGCAGCAATATAAGGGTCATTTATTCGTGCAGTACCGGTGGAGTGTAGTGTACCCGTCTAGACGTCGGTCTTTTGTACCATTCACAACGTCGACGTCTTCAACTGGCGGAGCCATTTGGGTTCTGTCCAACTGTCATGGTTATTCTCGTGCCCATACAGTAAGGCACCGCGGTGATGAACAGCCTGCTTCTAACTATAAGCATGTTGGTCGTGCCTCTGCAACAGTGTCAAGTCGCCACTACCACAGTACTGCTAGGAGCACGAATGGGGAGTGTTTCCGGGTGTGGTGTCTCTCTAGAGAAGAGCGCTTCTCTGAGCCACGACCCCTCACCCGTACGTGACAGTTTGCAACCTTGTCCGCTTCAGCTGCAAGATGTGGTCAAATCTTGTCACTGTGTGTGTGCCACACACTGACTTATGCATAACATGTAGCCCACTGCCGAAACTTGCACTCGTAATGCAACGCTAGGTGTAAGGTGTTGTTCTTCGGAGTGGTGACGATCAGTGTTGTCCCTTGCCCTGGGCGGAGGGGATCTTTCCCACGTAGGCCTTGGCCACTACCCTCCGGATGTTGGCTTAGAGCAAGGCGGCACCACCAATTGTCAAAATCGAGATTGGCCACCAACCGGTAGGAAGCCGTTGATTCACCAGGACAATGCTGGCTTACTAGCCAGTACACATGCTTCCCCCCACACCCTCTTGTGCTAGCCAGCGGCGGGAATTAATCTGGGATCCCCTAACCCATGGAAAATTGGACTGTAGCGTAGCAGCGGCCAGGCCTCTCCTGGCGGGGTTGCGTTTGCCAGAGAGGGGAACAGCTGGCGGCAACCAAAGCAAGAAAAGCACAGGTTTGCACGAGGGCTGCGAGCACAATGTTGCCTGATGTTTTCAATAGCGACGACGATTGTTTTCAAAAGTCAGGCCAGCAGGCATCGTGACTGGTCGGATGTGGGCGCCCGTGTGCTCCTGAGCGTCGGTGTGCTCCCGAAGTGCTACCGCCTCCAAATTGCTCCTGAAGCCAGGGATCTAAAACGGAGGTGATGATAGTAAGCGATGGCCGTCGGAGGCCGTCGCCCAGTTTCCTACTTAAATAGATGGTGGTACAGTCTGGATAACCCAATTTGATGATGAGGCAGTCCAGGTTGAATGCCAATCGTCGAGGTTCGTGTTCATCTGCGGGGGAACATGACAGGTCCATGTGACGTGCCAGACTACAGAGGTCAGAAAGTGCAGATCAATAGATGGCCGCCAGTGCCAACCCAGCTTGCCCCCTGTCAGTCTAGGAGGCGGTTCAGAGGATTGACGAAGGGCAGGGGTGCGGCAAAGGGATGGCCAGGCGCCGAGAGTCTAGCCAAGGCACCAACCCTGGTTTATTGTCATGCCCCGTTGCCTGCCGTGCCCTTTCGTAGGTCGATCAGTGGACAGACGTAGATTTCTCGGCCGAGGATAAAAGGATTAAAACAGCTGGAATCCGGGATATCGCAGCTTGAGACGTTGAACCGCGCGGTATGTCAAACTGACAAAGCGACATGGAGAGTGGACACGACGGCAGCACGGCTTCTCCAACCGAGAGGACACCGTTGTCGAGCTTGTCGCATTGGGCTGCAGGCCAGTGGTCGGAGCGGGCCGCTGTTCAGCGTCCCCAAATGCCAGCTACAGACATACTTTTGGTTTCGGCGGAGCCGTGATGAAAGCTCTGAGGGGGCTCGAACTGCTGGGGGGCCCTTCCCTGACAAGCGGAGAGTAATGTGCCAGGGCTAGGCAATAGGGGAGATAACGGACCGGGATCACTGCAGCTGGAGGGACGGGAGCAACGTCAGTAGCAGCAGGAACCGTAGTTTGGAGAAGGCCACGGCCCACAAACCATAGTCCATAGCGAAAACTTGGGGAGGATCCCCCGTCTCCCGCACCCACGTCAGGACTGGACTGCGACTGGGGTCGTGAAAGGTACGGCACGCAATGCAGCACGCGCAGCAAGTGAGAGGTGAGAAGGCTCATATGTCGTCGTCGTCTCATCGAGGCTTGTCCGACATCAAACCCCCCCAGGCGTCGCTTCTCCTTCAACAGTGACCTCCCCCGCCCCTCAAGTCGAATGTATTTCCCCCTCTTTTCGATGCTCACATCTAGCTTCCCTATCAACATATTCGCCCGTTCGCCTCGATTGCGTGTGGAAAGTCGTTCCTCTGATCATATCCCTAACGGCATTGTACCAACGGAGCTTGACTTCACTTTCGGTCTTAAGGACTATATCTGACTTGTTGCTTGGCACAGAGTGACGATCGCATTTGTCAGGGCAGGTGAAGATCGACCATACTCGCCGCTGCCGAGTCTTTGTTCGACCCTGAGGCCGAGCCTTCTGCGGCAAGAGCACGCAGCAGCTTCGAAAAGGGGTGTGTGTACGGAAGAGCAAAGGGCTTTCGGGCTTTGCTTTTGTCTGATAATACGGTTAGGTTGCCGATCACGTTTGCAGCGCGAAAGATTTGATCTTGGGTTGACCCGCGGGCGTTCTTGCCCGTGACAGCCGAGAAAGCTCAGGTGTCTGCGCGGACAAATTGTCGGGTGCAGTCTACCAGAGGGTTTTCCGTCCCCTCGCTTGCCCGATATCTTGGACATCCAGTGGGAAAGGAGAACACTTACTTTCAAAGTATCACCCCTGCGAACGTTGAGGCCATGTTCCAACCTCAGCCGACACCATTTGGCTCGTCGTTCTACACCCCGACAGAGTCGACAGCAACATACGACGATGGAGTGCCGCTCGACATTGTTCTAAGTGCCGAGTACGCCTATGCTCCGTCTCCTGTTGGGGCTCTGGAGCAGAACGGAGGAGGACCGCCGCATGCCATGCCAGGGTCGGGATCTGGGTCTGGGTCTCAAAGCGGACCAAGTCGCGGACCTGGCCATGGCCTGCGACAACAGCAACAACAACACAGAATAGGATCAGAAGAAGGTTTCGATGGGCCGAACTCCAGGCCGGCGGCGCGTCCAACACCAGGGCGCGACCGTGTTCATAGGGGGGGCTCAGGGGAGTTTGGTGTTGGTGGTGGGTTCGGCCTCGAGGGGCAAGTCAGGAGTCCAGTATCAGCACGAACAGGACGGGACAACAGACGGGGGAGTGCCAGCCATTCAGCCGACATGGCGGGCAGCAGGTACGACCAACACCAGCAGCACACATCACTACTTCCCGTCCTGTTCTCCTCGTCGGCGTCGCATGGCGCCGGCGCTCCTGCTCATTCTCCTGCCTCTGCTCCCACCACTGCTCCTGCCGCTACCGCTCTTGCTCTTGCCCCTACTTTGGCTCCTGCCTCTGTGTCTGTGTCTGCGTCTGCGGCTGCCGCCGCCGCTGCCGCCACGTCAGGTCAGTCGCAGGAACCCCACGGCCCATTGCACCTGCCACATCGGCCGCAGCAACAGCAAGTGCATCCGCTTCAGCGCTTGCCCCAGCGCCTGCACCAGCAGCACCCTGGCCACAGCCTTGGTCTCAGTCATCAGCACCCGCATCCGCACTCGCACGCCCACCAAACGCACCAGCAGCTCCAGCTCCATCTCCTCCAACAGCAACACAATCACAATCAGCAACACCCTTCGCTTGCACCATACACCAGCAGCTATCAGCGCAACCGAACACAAACGCAGGCCCAGGTGCAGACCCATTCGCAGACCGACCTCCAGCACAAACTTGCTGCCAATCCCGGCTATAACATCCCCAGCCCGGCCGCCTCCGCCGCCTCGTCGTGCAGCAACTCCAACAACCCGCCCTCGACCTTGTCCTCGTACAATCCAAATTCTAACGCCCACGCCGTTGCGACGCCCGCCTCATCCACCACCTCTGCCTCCGCACCAAACTCCGCCTCTGTCCGTGCTCTTTCGGCCGATATGGCTGGCGACTCCTCGGCCGATGCTGCCTTTCACGACGACTTGGCAGCTCAACAGAGGGCTGCTGAGAGCTACCAGCCTGACCTCCAGGTATGTCCGGTAGACCCTGCGAAGTCGCGCTCATAATGCCTCGTCGGTCCCTCCGCCCGCGTCGGGACCTCTCCGTCTCCGCGCCCTCCTCCCGCAACACAACCCAAATTTCGCCTTGCCCCTCGCCCCAGTCCATTCTGAACCCTAGCCGCACGGCCCGATCCTGATGATCAGATCCGATGCGGGCCCCGTTCCATATCCCCTCCTAGACCCTTCACGTTTTTGTGTTTCAAATACGGCGCCACAAAATCACTACTTGAAGTGCCCATCATCGCATGTGCTAACCTTGGTCTCAGGGTCCTTTGATCGGGGATAGGCTCACCAGCAACGCCATTACCGCCGAGTATGCCAAAGCTGATCCTGTCTATGTTGAGAAGACGATCGTAAGTACATGCGATGCCCACGCGGTTTATGATCTGCCAGCCCGTCGACTGGGAGCATCAGGCGCTAATGATTGGGCCCTCTGCGCCTTGTCTGTAGAACCTGCCACAGACATACTCTCATTATCGGCCAGTCCAAGGCGATGGCAACTGCGGATGGCGAGGTGAGTTGGCTTGGGATGCATCCGAGCAAGCAGAAGGCTGCGAATCCTTCCCCCTCAACATGCTCAACTTGCTGCACATACCCCGCATTGCCTTGGGCGACGTGCTTGGTCGCAGCAACTGGGTGATCGTGAACCAGGGCTGACACTATTGTTAATTCAGCAATCGGCTTCAGCTATTTTGAGCACCTCGTGTTTGCTGGCGACCCCGATAAATTGAGTCAAGAACTTGCCCGCCTCACCAGCCTCAACAACTACATTGCCAATGTCGGTGGGTACGATTTTGAGCTCTTCGAGGACATGGTCCATGAAACGCTCTCTTTAATCAAGGATCTTGCGGATGTTGTGACAGATTCGGCCACCGCCATGGCACTCCTGATGACACGATTCAACGACGCACAATGCTCCAACGCTATTGTTTACCACCTTCGTTTACTAGCCGGGTCTTGGTTGAAGGGCAATTCAAACGATTTCGAGCCGTTTCTTGTCGGCAGCGGCGGCCTCTTACAGTGGTGCAACGAAAACATCGAGGTCCCTGACCGCGAAATTGACCACATTGGCATCACCCTCCTCGCGAACATCCTACTCAAACCCATCGGCTTTGTTCTCGAGATCACCTACCTCGATCGCACGCCCGGCTCACAGGCCAACGTCTACCGACTGCCCGAAGAGGCCACAGGCCAGGACCCTGCCAACCTTGGGCCCATCATCTACCTTCTGTACCGGCCCGCGCATTACGACATTCTCTACCACAAAATGTCGTCCCGATTCCCGAACCCTGCAGCCGGTGCCCCTGCGCCTCTTGAGCTGCAGGTCAACAGGGCCATGTCATTTTCCCAGCAGCACGAAGTAGCAAGCGCCACACCCTCCCTGCATAACTTCTCAACTGTCGATTTTAGCGCACTGGCCATGCTGCCCGGGTTCAGCGGCCCGCCTTCCGCCATGTCTTCTTTGGCATCACCCACGGCAGTGTCCCCGATGCACAACGCTTACGACCCCTCGCCGCAGACTCCCTGGCTGTCGGCCCCCTTCTCGGATTCCGCCATGCAGCAGACCGCGCCGCCGGCCCCGTCAGCGGCCCTTGGCCTGCTGCGGACTCAACCCCGACAACCACCCCCCTCGTCAACGACAGGTAGCCAAGCCGCTCCCCCCAAGCCAAGTCAGCCTGTCGACTACCAGTTGCGGTTCAGCTCCCAATGTTTCCACCTGAAGAACCCTCCCGCCGAGCCGACGTCGATGCTCTCTCACAATGGCTATATGGAACCAAACTTTACTACGACCATGTTCAAGAACAGCCACTTCAACAAGGCCCACTACAATAACCCACAATTCCACCCTGAAGAGTGGGTGCCAGACGACGAGCCACACGACAGGAGCGTGAATAGTAAGCGGAAGATCCGTTCGAGGTCGGATTAACAAGTGCATCATGACCACAGTGGGGGAGGCAGGGTCTCGATCATGCACCGTGTATCAATTGAAGGGCCGGTGATTGAGAAAGGCAGTTCGCTTCGACTCCACGGTGGAAGCTGCGAGCACTTGGTGCTCTGCTATGAATACCAGGTTCTCTTCTCAAAATACCAGAACGGTCGGTTTGCCTCTTCAGGCGTATTCTTTCAAGTCATGGAGACTGGTTGGCAAGAGTTGGAATGGTTACTGGCTTGGGCATAGGCTTCATTAAATAATTGGAGATGAGAGCCGCATTGCATGATATTGCTGCAGATGGGCGGGTGCAGGGTCAGGCGCAGACAAAAAAAACTTGTCAATTGTCGTTGCGTCGGTTCATCGGGAGAGGGAGGGTAGCTTGCTTATTTTTCCCTTTTCCTGTTCTCTTGTTTCATGGCTCTGCTCTGGCTCTTGCTTCCCCTCCCTCTCCCCCATCTTTCCTGGCCCCAACGCTCACATCCACATACCCGACAGTGAGGTGGGCTCCTTTTTGGTTTCTGACATGGCAGAAAAAGTTCAGCGACCAGCTGTCGACTGCTTTAGTGTTTCTCTGAAGGTTTTCCTTTTGCGGGTGCGCGGTCCGCGTCTACGTTGGTAACGAGGTGTTGCTGTTTCTTCATAGCATGATTGATGGATGAGTTTGGGCCGGGGCCTCGGTAGGATACGTGTTGATACACTTTTTGTGCGGCTGTTCCGGGCGTGCGCTGTCTCCGTCACCGTGACCTGTCCTAGACTTATTTGCCTCGACGTGTCATGAATCTGTGCAGGCATCGTCACAGATAGGGACACCCGCCAACGTTAGTCCAAGCGCTCGAGCCCGAGCTCATCCGCATCGAGCGTCCGCGACGTGACGCCGGCGGCGCCAAGACGGTCGGCCAGCTCCTGCACCCACAACCCAGCGAGAGCGTGCCGGTAGACGTCGGCGTCGCCGCCAAACATGTACAGGGCGTCGTCGAAGCCGCGGGCGCCGAGCTCGGCGCGCACGCTCGTGACGGCCTTGCCCTCGAGGCCGCAGGGCACAAAGCGGGCCCAGGGGTTCTGGGCCTCGGGCCCGGTGACGGGCGTGTCGATGTTGAGGGCGACGCCGAGGGCCGTGACGTGGCGGCGCAGGTGGACGCCGAGGGCGGCGATCTTGCGCGGGGGCCCGTCGTCCGGGGCGATCCAGACGCCCGGGTCGGCGGTCGAGGCGGTCGTGGCGATGGGGCGCGGCAGCGAGGCGAGGAGGGCGCGCGTCGTGTCCTCGAGGAGGCGGGCGTAGGAGCGGACCGTGTGGTTTGCGTGGTGCGGGGCGTGGAGGTCGAGGACGGGCCAGAGGACGAGCTGGCCTGGGCCGTGGTAGGTTGTGAGGCCGCCGCGCGGGGAGGCGGTTACGGACGGGGTGTAGAGTGTTGTCGTTGTTGATGATGTTGATGATGTTGATGATGGTGGTGGTGGTGGCGCGCCATCGCGCGTGCTGGGTGTTGAGATGGTGAGGGGTTGTTGGAGGCGTGCTCGTTGGGCGGGGTCGAGCGTTGTCTGACGGCGGCCGAGTGTGTAGGTTGGTGTCGGCGTGAAGGAGATGACGGTGGGCGAGGGGGCCGCGGCGGCAGAGGAGGAGGAGGAGGAGGAGGAGGACTTGTGGTTGAGCAGAGCGTCACGCAGGGTCGTTTGGAGGGCGGAGGCGGCAGCGTAGGAGGGGAAGCCTTTGGAGGAGGTCAGGTGGATGTGGGTGATGGTGGCGGGCGAGGAAGATGCTGATGTTGAGGCTGACGCGCCGTCATGGTGGAGGCTGCGTGTTGAGGAGGTCCATTTTCGGCCGGCTCGCGAGGCGGGCGCTCGTCGAAGCAGGTGCCAGGGAGCAGCTGGTGGACGGGCCATTGGGCCGGTGTTCGTCGTTGGTCGTGGGGATGTGTGGAGAGACGTGGCCGCTCCCACAGCTATGGCAGCATGGAGTTCTGGAATTTTCCCAGAGCTCGAGCTGCAAGGCAAGAATGGATCGCGGGTTGAGCCGGTGCACGGACCGAGAGGGGGCCCTGGGGGAATTCCCTCCTCCCCCCCGGCTAGATGATCCGACCGAAGCCGTGGGACAGTGCTACGACATGTTACATTGCGAGGAGCCTTCATGACAAAAAGGTCGCTGTATCATTGGTGAATCGTTTGTTTCTCTTGTAGTGTAGGCATCGGACTTGTCATCATCGCCCAAACCATGGCACGTGTGACGAGAGGTACGATGACTGCACCACCCTCTAGCTAGCCGCATCCGGGCGGGACAGGGGGATTGACGTGGAAGAAGAGAAGAAAAGGCACTACGAAATAGTGACATGCGTTAGGATCCCCGGGAACAGCTTGGTGTGTTTGCACTCGTTGCGCTGCTTTGAGAGTGCATGCAGTCGATGATGTCGCGAATTGCTTCTGCGAGCGGACATGGTGGCTCAAGTGGTGCCGATAGATCGCGAACAACTTCACTAGTGCAGGAAGCCGTCGATCATCATCGATCCCCTGGACCAGGTTTTTTTTTTCATTTTTTTTTTGTCATTCTGGTTTCTCCAGGGTAAGGTAGACAGACACCCAGCCGGCCAAGAGAATGGTGTGCCTACTTGAACGGATTTGGGTGCTCTTTTTCGTCGTAGGCCAGCGACGACATCCACCAGAGAGGGCGCCAACGACGTTCACGATTCATCGACTTGTCGTCTCCTACGCGTACGACGTTTGTCTCTTGTGCAGACTCGCCCTGCAGGATCGAGGCTGTGCAGAGGAGAAACGCGCAATACAAATGGCCGACGGTCAGGCATTCGCGAGGTTCGTCCCAGCGTTGGCAGTGCGGGACAGGCGTACGAGGCGAGACCCTGCATGTGAGGGGATGGTACTTCCACGCGGCCTCGTCTGCTCCGTGTTTCGTTTCACCGAGACGTGTGTGTGTGTGTGTGTGTGCATGTATTGATTCCACCGTCCCTGTCGCGGGTGTCTCTTCAGGCTGTGCTGCTGCTGCTCTTCTCGTGGTGCTTGCGTACATGTGTAGCCATGGCAGTACACGATGCTAGCCTCAGCTCCCAGCTCCCAGCTCCCAGCTCCCAGCTCCTCTCCCACGAGGAACTGGGAGCGCAGCACCGAACATCGAGCACGCACACAGGACGGAGCGTGTTGTGTTGTCTTGGTGACGCCTGGGCATGACGTCGCCGTGGACCCTCCGCACAGGCGTCTCCAGGTGGCTCAGCGCTGCTCCGGCCGCTAAGGCAGCGCCGAACTGGCAGAAGACTGGGGCCCCCTTCAGCTTGTTTGCTCGTCCCAGCAGCGGCGCTAGTTTGTTAGCAGCCCCCGGTGCCAGCGTCGCATTGGCCGGCGCAGGTGCTCATGTGGGGCTGCGGCAGTGGTCTGGTGGAGGTGTCGTCATGCAGCGTGTTGGTCTACCTAGATACCTACCTAAGGTACCTACCTAAAGTACCTACCTAAGGTGCCTACGCCTGCCGACCTTACCTGGTGGGGACCCAGAGGTAGGTGCCCAGCACCTTGCTAGGCAAAGCTCGTCTCGCCAACTCCGGCTCTCTCGCCCTTCACTGCCTTTGGCCTCGTCGACACGTCCCACCCATCCAGATCCCGACATCTGATCGCTTCGAGCTTTTGCGTCCCGGCTTTGCTTTGAGCTTGGAGTGGTCCCCGCATCGTCCTTCGTCATCCGGTTGATCGTCCCTTTTGCATCGCCTCTTTAATTATTCCCCCTCCCCAAATCCTCCACATCCTTTTCCCTCTTTTAGACAGCTCCTGCTCCCCATTCTGCTCTCGAGCCAATCTCCTCCTCCTTTGCCATTTTGCATCGGCATCACCACCATCGCGACGACCACCCTGCTACTAATACCTTGCCCCTACCTACCTTACCCGACATCATACTAATGAATGTGAGTACTATCCCCAAGAGTGCACCCAGCGTCTACGAACTGTTGCCACTCTGTTCCTGCGCGTTGCTTTACACCCGTTCGCGCCTGCAGACGGCGCAGGGAGATGCAAGCTCCATCAAGACCTTGCTTTTGCTGACATGGTCCTCTCCCTCTCCCAGCGTCGCCCACCTACTTCCTAATACGCCCATCCACTGAAACAGTGTCGCGCATCGCCATCTCAGGCCTCGTGTGTCGTTGAACAGGCGAGAGAGCACAGTGAGTGAACCGGCGTCCCCCCCAACCTTGTCTTGGTATCGCCTCCCTTCCTCTCCTCCTTCTCCTGTCTCCCTTTTCCCTCGGCTCTCCTGCGCTTCCTGCCACCGACTCGCACTCGATACTTTGGTTTGCGAGAGACAATTTATTGACCCAGACCCCTCGGCAGATCCCCCCTCTTGAGCTCTCGACAACATTCGCATTCTCGAGTTGCTTCAGACAGACCCGTCGCCATGGTCAGCCCAAAGCCCGCTGCTGGCACCGCCGGCCTCATCCTCCTCTCGGGATCGCTGGTCCTCATCTTCTTCGTCATCCTCTCGGGTGTCGCCAACACGTCGCCTCTCAACAAGACGTACTTCCTCGAGGCCGACACCTCGGGCATCTCCGGCGCCCGCGACGTCACCCGCTGGACCTACTTCTACTTCTGCGGTGACAACAACCGCGACTGCTCGAACCCCCGTCCGGCGCCCGCCTTTGGCCGTGCCTGGGACGGGAACGCCGCCAACGTGCCCGAAGGCCTCATCGGTGGCCATGGCGGCGATACCACGAGCCGCTTCTACTTCTACATGTGGCGCTTCGGCTGGGTCTTCTATCTCATCGCCCTCTTCTTCATCGTCTGCGCCTGGTTCTCCTCCTTCCTCGCCTGCTGCGGCCGCCTCGGCTCTGCTATTGCTGGCCTCGTCTCCGCCGCCGCTCTCTTCTTCTACACCATTGCCGTCTCCCTCATGACGTGAGTCTTCCTCGCCTCCCGCACGCGTGGCCGTTGCCGTGTTGCCCTCGTCACACGACAGCCCAATGCTAACACGTATCAAGTGCCACTTTCGTCAAGGCCCGCGATGAGTTCCGCTCCGCCGACCGTTCTGCCAACATTGGCACCTATGCGTTTGGTTTCTCCTGGGGCGCCTGGGCCGCTCTCTTCCTCGCCACCATCGCCTTCTGCTTTGGCCTGCGCGGTGACAAGACGGCATCCTCCGGTGGCCTTGGCGGTGGACGCCGCTGGGGACGCCGCCGTCACAGCACCCGCTCGCGCCGCAGCCACGACCTCGGCAGTCGCCGTGTCAAGGACGATTACTCCTAAGTACGGGAACTCTGCTCGTTTCCCTTTTATTCAAATGCAGTCAGTCGCATGGGTACAGACCCGAAGCCTGTCGTGCTACGAGAGACGGTCTTCACAGCGTCAGGAAGCGCTGGTTGTAATGGGTGACGTAATGGGCGAAGACGGTCCTTTCATGGCGTTAATAAGACGGGGCATCTACGGCCGGACACTCGGAGGCCGGTGAGGATCTGGGGAGGGAGAGTGACCGTCACGGTACACATCGGGGGGCAGGGGCGTTTCTCCTCCAAGAATGTCCGTCATGGACTCTTTTTTGGAGGATCTGCTTTTGAGTTTCCTAGTCTTTTTTTTTTTTTTGGATCTTGCCCCCTTTTTCATGTCGATATCTACGAGGAGCATGAGCCCTTGACGAGCCAAATTTAATGTCATGAACTGTATGTCTGTGATCTCACTAGGCGCGTGCTCAATGCTGTGTCGCCAACGAATGTGAAGCACAATGTAAGGTGCGCATGACGTTGGTCAGTCTTGTTTCGACAAGCGTGCATGTGCGACAAAGACAGATCGTACCCATACAAGCAGCCTACAGTCACCAGACATTTGGAACCAACAAGGACCTCTACAGCTTCAAGTACCGGCCTGGTCTCCTCCCGACTAATAACCTCATCAGTGCGAACGAGCGGAATGCGCCGAGTCGACTTAGTCAACACAAAGTAGGAGCCGCGTGGTTCATCTTCCGCTGCCATCTCACCACGTCGTCATCCACCGCTCAACCACCGCAGTCGAACCATTATGACCCCCGACCGAATGGAGAACCAGCATCACGGAGGGAGCAGACACATCTCTCTCGTGGTTGGCATGACTATCCAGTAAGAATTCGTATTCACTCGACGCCGTGACCCCGACAAACCAGCGGCAGAATGAATCTAGCTTCTCGCTCGCCAGCCCCCTGACTGCTCCGCGCGCAGGCAGCTCTTGCGCCTACGTGTCCCTCGACATCTCAGGACCGCACTCAGAGTCTCTCCCTGATTTTCCGCCTCCCCCGCCCTCCCTGACCTCCTCCACTGTTTCAAGCAAGACGCGTAAAAAAAACGTCCCGTACAACAAGGCGTTGACACCGGAAAAGAAGAAAATGCACCTCGAATCCCCATTTCGTATACAAGGGGTTAGAGTACGGGACCCCCCTTGGCCCCCCCTTCCTCCACGCCATGCGTTAAAATAGCTGCTCGTGATCGTGAAGAGTTGAGAACGTAAAGAAACGAAAAGAAAATAAGAAACAAAAAAGCCAAAGTGTATGCCTGCGAAGACCTGCTTCTCTGTGACGAAAGGGAATGATCAAAGTACATGAAGCCAGCTTGCTGCAATGTCGATGGCTTCTTCTAGGCCAGCGGGCTGCCGACGGGACTGACACCGAGCGGCGCCGCGTGGAGAGCCGGCTTCAGTGAGCCTGCGCCCAGCTTGCCTAGCCTCTTTTTCTCCAGGACGCCCTTGACCCAGTCGGCGACCTCCTCGTCATCCGTGGAGGATGTCAGGTTCATGTTGCCGACGGCATCGGCGACGGCGTCGGCTTCGTCGCCCTCCTCGGCCTCTTCCGCGATCGTCTCTGGCTTGGAAAGAGGTGCGAGCCAGGGGTGCTGGAGAAGCATGGCATACGTGGGACGGTCCTTGGGCACCTTGTTCAGACAGCGCTGCACAAAGTCGCGGGCTGTGCTGGAAAAGCTCTCCGGCAGGTCAGGTGGGTCACCTTCGACAATCGCCTAGGAAAAAATGTCAGCAAGGATTTTGAGAAGAGGCCAGTGGAAATACGACGTACGCTCAGCTGGCTGAAGATTGTCGAAGACACCTCTGGTGGGTAGGGATACTGGCCCATGGCGCACTCGATAATGGTGAGACCCAAGCTCCAAATGTCGCTCTGCACGCTGTAGGTGCCGTCTGCGCCCGTAGCCATGCCACCGCCCGATATCCTCTCGGGTGCCATGTAGCTCTGGCAGCCAATGTTGGTCTTGGCCATGCTTGCGACGAGGTTGCCGCTGACGCCGAAATCGCAGACCTTGACCTGGCCTCGCGTGTTGACGAGAATGTTGGTAGGCTTGACATCGCGGTGGATGATGTTGTGGTCATCTTTGAGCGTCTTGAGACCCTGGACAGTGGAATATGTGATCTTGCGAAGCACGTTCTCAGGGACGCCGCCGGTGTAGAGCTTATCGATGGAACCACCATCCATGAACTCGATGCAGAGATAGACCGCACCCTCTTGGAAGAAGGCCCCGTAGAAATCGATGATGTAGGGCGAGACGCACTTGTGCAGAATCACAAGCTCGCGAAGAATCGTCGTAAACTTGGCCTCCTCGAGCTCTAACCTCATCTCCTTCATGGCCATGATAACACCAGTCGTGCCATCTTCCTTGGCTGTGGGCGTAGTCTGCTGAGGGTCGACGGTGTCGTCGCTCTTCGCCACAGGCGTAGGGTCCGAAACGGAGTGATCGAGGCTCTTGACACCGCTCAGACCTGCGCCAAACCGCGGTTTTCTCGGCTTTGTGTGCTTCACTTTATACACTGTGCCATAATTGCCCTTGCCGAGTTCGTCAAGCACCTCCACCTCATCGAGGGATATGCGGAAAGTCTGGCCATTGGCGAAGTTGACCCCAGTTCGCGTGATTGTGGCGGCGCCGTCAAACGTGATCCAGCCCTTTTCGGAGTCAATATACTTTTTGAAGTCGTCCATCTTGGAACCAAAGCTGTTGCCGTTCCCGTTCGCATTGGCATTGCCGTTTGGTGCACCGCCGGCGCCGGGTGCGGGGGTAGGAGGTCCTCCTCCCATGGCTGACAGCGTCAAGCCCGGCTTCTTCCGTCCTCCGGACGCCTTGGTAGGGATGGCGGGGGCAGAGTGAGGCAGAGGGCCCGGTGTTGGGCGCATCATGGGTATGCCACCTGGGAGCCTCGGAACGCCGCCGGGCAGCATGCCGCCGGGCGACTGGCCAGCGGGGGAAGCCGGTGTGCTGGGAGGCGCGTTCGGGGTGACGGGTTTGTTCATTCGCTGCAGATGCAGCGCTCGTGCCCTCGCCATGATATCGTTCTGAACACCACCGCCCATCATGGAGGCAGCGGCTGGCCGGGGGCGCCGAGCGTCGCCCAAGAAGCCGAGGGGTGTGGAGGAGGCGGTCATGTTGGGAGGGTCGGAGACGGTGCGAAGGGAGGGGAGCCTCCGAATATTGTCAGGAGGGGAGTCGACGGGACCCTCGAGAGGCGTGCTGGCTTCTGAGGAATTGACCGAGCCTGGGGATGCGGGGCTGTCGAGACCGTCCGGGCCATCGTACGTGCCGTCAGGCGTCGCAGGAACAGAGTCGGGCGTGTTGAGATCTGCCATCTTGCCAGTCGAGTAATGTATGCGTTGGGATCGTCAGGCTGCGCGGGCTATGCTATCGCGGTCGCTTTCGTGGTGGAAAGAAACACCCGGAGTGACGGCGAAGGTGACGAATCCGAGCCCGAGTCGGCCTTGGGAGTAGTTGGGGAGGGGCAGAAGAGGTAGGAGTGCGTGGCGTTGAGGCTCAACAAGGCTTGATCATGCGGCGGGCCCTCAGGACGGTTCAGGTTGGGAAAAAGGTCGAAAAACACGCCAGTCGGGCGCGAGAGACGAAGAGGGGCGAACGACGGGAAAGATTTCGGTGATACCGACGTCTTATACTGTACGCTTGTCGGTTGAGGGCAAGGCGGTGGGTTGATGGTGGTTTGCAATTGGACCCGTAGCTAGTGCTTCCGGGGAATGGCTGGTGACTCGCTCAGGGTTCATGAGCAGCTTGAGGCGAACTTTTTCTTTTTTTTTTTCCTCTTGTGCTTCTCTTCCGTTCTTGGCTACCAATGCTGAGGCGGGTGGGAGACTTGGGATTGGCGAGCTTTTAGCTGTTGCAAGCTGGGTTTGTCAGGCGCAAGAAGGTGAAGGAAGTGTTCGTGGAACAAGACGCTGGCTGGCTACTGAAAACCGGGCGTATGCTAAGGCAGGTGCTGGTGGATAATCCCAATCCCAGTGGAGAAGAAGCAGCAGCAGGCAATGGATGGTGGGGGGAGGGGACGATACACCGCAATGGGCGGGTTTAGCACTAGTCTGGCTGGCAGGGAAGTGGGGTGCTGATGTACCCATCCAGTATCGGTGACGACGGCGGATGGGATCTCTGACAGGGTACCAGGTGGGTAGGCAGACGGGTGGGAGATGAGCTGGATGGGCTTTGAGGGGTTGATGGAGCATCACACACGTCCAGATGGTACCTGTAGGTTAGTAGCTGCAGTACCTGCCTGACCTGGGTCGACAGACAGACACCAAGAGACATGGAGGGCAGGATCAAGTTCAGACGTGAATGGTGGCGCTCGTCATGCAACATTTCACCTTCGTCTCGGTGCCCTCTGCGAGTACCGAGCTACGGACTAGATGTACAGGCCCATCACCGCTGCCGGTCAAAACTACTCCGTGTCTACATACCTAGGTACCAGGTCATCCCAAGCCATGCATGCCGCCGGGCAATTGCTGCTGAAGGTAAGGTCCAAGGATTGAATCATGATGCCGCACCAGAAAAAAAAAAGAAGAAGCCAGTTGCCTTACAGCGTCGTCACTTTCCAGGCATCTCATGTGCCCTGGTCTGCGCGACTAGTACCCACCCCTGCCACCCAAATCGCAACACCTGTACCGACCTTCCTGCGCATCTACCTCACCTTGGTACCGCGTGGGAGAGGTATCACCAACCTGACAGGTGCCAAAGACACTCTGCCGGCATCATCCGCCCAGTTTGAAGAAGCCCTCGACTCTCTACGTTGCCGATCTGTTGATGGCATTCGTCAGCGTGTCGCCCCTTTCATCATGTACGTTTGTGCATCGCGCGCGCGCATCACTCGATCAGGACGGCGGCCACCCCCATCAGAAGGCCCCCGGGGGGGGGGGGGGGGGACAAAACCCATTTGCATGCTCATCACTTTCCCCTCGCCGAATCCGCCGAAGACCCAAAAAGGGGTCTACATACCGGTTCCGACGTTACATCATCCAACATTCGAACTGTTTTTTCGTCCCATCTGCACCTGCACGAGACGAGGGCGCCAAGGTCAAAGAGCCAAGGAAGGAAGGGGAGGGGCCTTGCAGCCCATGGCCTTCGCCTGCTTGTGGCTTCGTGCCCCGCGCCCGCAGCCAGGCCCCTCCCTTGTGCTGGTCCCTATCCCCGCCGTGGGACTGTGCCTATGACGTAGCGTGCACCACCAGTACCTGTAGAACGCAGTCTGCGAGTCTGTGGCTTGACCCTTGTCTCGAGCAAAGAAAAAAATACTTGACCGCTAGTGCCTTGCGTGTGGCTTGCAGATGGGTTGCTTGTCTCGTTTGCCTACCTACCTGCCTACCTACCTGCCTACCTACCTGTCTACATGTACCTACCTAGGTCCCTGAGGTACCCAGCTTGCGCCGTTCCTTCATCCATCCAGCGTTGCTCTCGTCAGAGGTATGAGGGGCTCCGCTGACGTCTGATGTCCCCTCCCACGCCTTCCACAACACGATGCTGCTGCCGCCGCGCTTCCCATGTTTCCACGACCAACCTCTTGCGCAGCTATTCTGGGAATGACGGTGGGGTGAAGGCATGACTGAGTATTGGGCGTCCCACATTTCTTTTTCCTCTCTGTCCCTCTCCAGTTCTCCCAAAGACGAAAGATGTGCACTCGGATCTTGCTCTCCGTCGCCGCTTCACCCAGCGACTTGGCCTCCTCCTCGAGAGATGGATCTCGCAGCGAATCGGCAGCCCATGTCGACGCCCTTGCCGTGCAGTGCAACGGGCATCTTGCTATGCACGCTGTTCTCGCGGACCCCTCGCCCGTTCTCCAACTCGGAGCCCTCCGAACATGCAAGCCGCCCACCGTCATTCTTTCATTTTCAGGGTCTTGAGCACGCGTCTGCTAGTCCACCGTAGCGAATGCTCCGGGGTCAAAGCAGTGTACTCAGGTACCTCCTCAGACACTTTGATGGTCCTTGACCGTATGCCCTCCACATTGCCTCATCATGACCATCCATCGCAGCCGCGTAGATCAATCCCTGGCTGCGAGGTGGTCACCCGCCCGATAGAGGCCAATGTTCATGCAAAGGCCATCGCTGCGTCTGTGCTATGGCACATCTCGCTACTTGTACACTGACGTCTCTGTTTGTGACGGTTCCTCATCAGAATGCCACCTGCGTCATCGACCATGTGGCTTGGGTGCGCCCCAAACCGCTTCCCCCAAACCGCAGATTCCCCCCACATTACGTCCATGTTTCAACTTATGCTGATCACCGTTGACACTTTGATTGGATCTCGCCGTCCGCTCATGCTGCACAGCTGGTGGCTTGGGTGTGTACACACAGCCATCGGAAAGCTAGAACACGATGCACTACGTCGTGACATGCACTGAAGTCGTGGAGGAAGTCTCTCGCAGATTGATGATCGGAATGGCATTGCAACTCGATGCACGACGACTCCGTCGATGGAGTTTGCCATCGACCCTGAGTTGACCTGGATGACGTCTCTCTGAGGAAGTCCACTATCGCGATCCCGTTCATCATACCAGATGGCTGACTAGACCCAACCGCCACAAAGTGCGCAACGTTCCGTCAGGTCCCGACTACCTCAGTCCCTGCAGGCCCTCCCCGAAACCGTCCACAAGGCAAAAATAAGGGGGGGCCGTCTTTCACGTGTACTGACAAGCCAGGGCGCGCCGGCCCGCTCAACGGCGGAAAGGTCTCTGAACAAAGGTCCAGTCATTGTCGGCGTAGTGGCTCGTTCCCTCAGCCAGCTCGGCCGTCGACAGGTACGCGTCGTCGTACTCGTCGTCGTCCTGCTCGGAGAGGTGCGTGGCCACCTTCATGATGAGGCTCATCTGGAGGCGGGGCGGGCGGAGAGCCTCCCGACGCTGCTGCCGCTCCTTCTTGGTGGCCTCGTCGGCCTCCTTCTTGGCGGCGGCCTCGACCTCCTCTCTGGCCTTTTCCTCGGCCTCGGCCTCCTTCTGGGCCTTGTCCTCGGCCTCCTTCTTGGCTTTGATCTTGGCTTCCATGGCGAGCCGCTCGCGCTCGCGCTGCCTCTCATGCAGGATGACGAGGACCGAGGCGTAGGCGCCGCCGAGCTTCTGCTTGAGGGTCTCAATATCTTGATAGAGAGGCATCGTTGCTATAGACTTAGACGGGCGAGAGTGACGAGGAGAAGGCTCTGTCGGCGTTTATATGAGACGCCGGTGCTTGCTTGCTGGAGGGCAGAGTCACTGTCAGTCACTGCGGAGGCTTTCCACTCATCTGGTCGGCGGCAGGAGTCTGCTGTCTACTTGGAAACGGACTGACCCTTGGACGAACAGCTTCGGATGGCAGGTCAACCTCAAAGGGTATCTCTGGAAGCCTGATGAGACAGCCGATATTTCGATGGAAGCTGGTCTGGCTTCAAAGCCACTGTTCGGACGGAATCTTGCTGGTTGAGTACGTGATAGCTGTGAGAGTAGACAACGAGACCTGGGCCTATGCGGGACTCTTGGACCTTCCACGTGTTGGCGATACTGGTGAGTCGTCAGTCACGTCAACGCCTGGGTTCTTTCTCGTGAGAGTGCACTTGCAAGGCTCCGCCGGGGGCTTGCGCGCGGAAGCCGCACTTACACGGCGCAAGGCGGGCGCGGCTTTCGAGAACGGGAAGGACGCGGGCTTTGTCGTTGATTCATGGGCGCTTTCCTCCTCGCTGCAGGGCGTTCAGAAGTGAAAGACGCGGCTTGCTTCCCTGTCGACTAGCAAAAAGGAAGTGGTTTGGGTGTCGCATGTCGCATGCCGCTTGACCATGACGACGAACTTTGATGCTGCGTTGCAATGGTTTATTAGTGCTGGGCGATGAGAACATGTTCACGACCAGGTCATATATAGCATTCGAAGATCAGTCGCAGAAAGGTTTGAGTTTCTGGAGTCTGAGCATATACTGCTGCACTTGATAACTTGTCTTCCTGGATGGTCATCATGGTGTTTTCATTAGGACCCTGCGGCAGAACCTTAAAACTGGCTGCAACGGCCTCCTCCAGGGGCATCTGTTCGAACGATGAAATAAAAGTGGATGAGAACTTGCAAGCACAGTCACTACTGTCAATGATACGACAAAGATGTGGTTTAACACGCTGAAATTGATTGTCCAAGGTTCATATGGCACAGCTGTCAACTCGCGATGAAAACTGGTTAATGCTCCAAAACATAGCTCTCTAGCACATACGACCACACCTACTGGAAAATTCGGGATCCCGTCCGCTCTCCCATAGACAAGCCAGTAAGGGTTGGACTAGTAGTTGGGTGGGTGACCACCAGCGAATCCCCGATGTTGTATGTTTTTGATGTTTTTGGCATTTCCACCCTGGTGGTGGGAAATGAAGCTGTCGTGGGCCGCTGTGGGGTGTGAGGTGGGGCCGATACATGTGCAAGTTCGGCGGCAACCCTGTAAGTGTAAAGTCCTCTCGGACCCCTCAAGCTGTGCAAGCAGCCTGTGGCAACTTGATGCGGATGGGCACGTGTAGAAAACCAGCTTGATGCTGCTGTACCAGCAACGAATTCTTGATTGAAGCAAAATGGTTGAAGATGCCATAGATAGATAGAGTGTTGTGGCTGAATCAGCGTTGGTCGTCATGAAGGGCTACTCGCCATGCCATGAAGCCAGCAAGTTGGGCAACACCTTCGCAAAGTACAGCTGATCGATTCATTTGCAACACCTCTAGACTCGTGCGTTACGGAAACACTGTGCGACAACAATCTCCAGAGACCACTCGAATGATTTGTACCTGCAGATCGTTCACCTTGGCCGTGTTCGTGATATGAACCAGTATAAGTCGCCGAGAACCCCGGTAGACAAATCAATGAAGACAGGCTTCGGTGCGAATCTACCATCACCGACAAGGACCACATCAGGACATCTTGGAATGAGATCAAAAAGCGCTTGGGTATTCATACAAACTAGCAAAAGAAGTGCACACATCAAGTCGTTACAAGAGCACGAGCTTAGCTGAAGCGACCGAGTGCCTTCCCCCTCTTCGACACCTCCTTGGCATGGTACTGCTTGACCTTGGCCCGCCTGGCATCCTCCCTCGCCTCCTCCTCGACGCGCCTGACCTCCTCCCGCGCGGCCGCGACGCTCTCCCTCGCCGCCATGAGCGCGCGGTCGGCGTCCTTCTCGGCCTGCTCGGCGCCCATGACGCGCTCGCGCGCCGACAGCACCGACGGGTCCATGTCGGCCTCGTCGTAGCGGCCGCCGCGCTTCGAGAGCAGGCCGCGCTTGCCCCGTGTGCCGTGCGTCGAGACGGACCCCGAACGCGTGGGACCCGTGTGGTAGGAGCTGCCGCCGGCGGAGGAGAGAGACGAGACGGATGTGCGAGCCGGCGAGGGCGAGCGGCCGCGGTTGCGGTGGAAGAGACCGCCGCCGCCACCCGTCGAGCGGTGGTGAGGGTCTTGGGACGGGTGCTGGACGGCGTGGTTGTCGCGCACGGGCGAGGGCGAGCGGTCGCGGAGGGAGCCAAAGAGGCCGCCCTTCTTGCGAGGGGGCTCGTGAACGGCGGCGTGCTGGGGTACGGGAGCCTGGCGTGGGGGGGAAGGGTCGCGGCGGCCGGAGAAGAAGCCACGGCGGCGGGGTTCTTCGACGGGAGGAGGAGTGGGCTCCCGGGGCGGTGGGGAGGGCTCACGGCGGCCTGAGAAGAAAGGCATGGCGTATGATGAATGATAGTCTCTGCAAGAGGGTCTGTGACTTGGAAGTGTGGAGTGATGTGCCGAGGAGCCAAATAGTCTTGATGGATTGAGATTGATAGATAGAAGGTTTCTAAAAGCTCGGCAAGACTGGGCGAACAGACGATATTTCTATTCCCTCTCTTCACGCACTGGGAGAGAGGAGACATTCCTCCTGAAAAGCCTCTACTTGGCAGACCCTGTCAATGATGCCAGGCGGCATGCCATGCCATCACGACCTGTCTTCTGTCCAGTAATTGGGCGCCGTGCGCCGCGGGGGTTGGACGTCGAATACGGCAAACCTGTTTGGTGGTGATCGACAGTATAGGGGTCGTTGGGCGTGACGTCAGTGGTAAAGAGCAGGGGTTCTGTGCCTACCGAGCCAATAATTTGGACGTGTTGAGAAAGGACCCTGCGATATTTCAACCAATGCACGACGGTCATGCAGGGTCTCGTGCTGTAATGGAGGGTTGAATTATGCCATCGTACATGGTGGTCGGCCTGATGACGATGCTCTGAAGGGAGGAGGAGCTGGTTCGTGATCGACATTCGAGACGGAGGCCACCAGGAATGGCCGAGTTCTGAGACGGCGTTTGGTTGCATCGATCTCAGGACACTTGCCTAGACATCTGCACTCTATCGATGGAATGCTGCGGGGTTCCCCAGTGCTGCTGTAGAGGCTACCGATCGGATGGTGACGATGATGATCTATTAAGGGTCTTGCCCAGAACCCCAATCTATTACTCTATCGATGGCTTCATTATGTCCGGGTCCACTTCTGCACGTCTCGCAATGCCCTACTGCTTCGTCCATCGTCGACAGTGTTCATGCTGGGTATCTAATTGAACTCGCAAGCTCTCCGCTGTGTGTGTATGCGCGCGTGTGTGTTCATTTCCGTTCCGTGTGCGCTCTGGGCCACTCACTTCTCGCTCTTGGGTTCAAGAGTCTTGCTGGGCCAGGCCAGCCAGCATACGGCAATGACGACCTTGATGAAGCCAGCAATCCACAGGACAGTGGTCGTGCCGGCGGCGCTCCTCTGAATCCAGCCGCTCACGATGCCGCCGAGGAGAAGCAGAAGGATGGCGAGGAAACGACGGTTACGCTTCGGGTTCTCCTTGAGGGGGGCCAGGATCTTGGGGTCAGACAGCAGGTCGCAGTAGACGCTCGTCAAGACACAGGTGGGCACCTCGTTGTAGCCGAGGACACGGCTCGAGACGATCTGACCGCCAAACTGCCAAGCGATCAGGGCGACGGGTAGAAGTACAATGTGGCTGTGGTGAGACTGCGTGGCGGCGCCGAGGTCGTCGTTGAAGCTGGGGACGTTGCGGCGATTGTAGTCGGCGACGACGCCCGTCTGGGCCAGGATGGCGGCGATCCAAATAGCGGCGGCCTGTGCGAGGAAGGACACGGCAAGAGTGGCCTTGCGCTTGGGCTGGAAATGACGGGTGTGCGCGAAGGTGAAGCAGCCCAGGGCGAATGAGCCGATGGAGACGAGAGAGCGCAGCCAGCGATAAGGGTCTCCGTAGGGGAGGCTGGCGGCGCCGAGGGCCAGGAAGATGGTGTTGCCCGTCTGCATGCTCACGAAGACGTTCGAGGCGTTGACGGTGACACTGTCGCAGAGACCCGAGATGAAGCAGCAGGCGAAGAGGGGGAGATCTGTGTGATTGACGTGGACGTCATCGCGAAGCCATTCGAGCCAGGTCTTGCGCGGCGGCGGCTGCTGAGCAACGTGCCGAGGGAGCTCCTGCGTCGTCGCGTCGCTGTCCGATGCAGCGCCAGCACTGTGGTTGGGGGCCACTTGCAGGCCGTTCTCGTGGCTCATGATTGAACGTGCGTGGTATCGTAGTCGTGTTCTAGTGGGACTAGAGGAGCAGCGTTGTTGAGGCCCTCGAGGGATGGACTCGCGAAGTTGAATTATGGAGGCGAGAGAAGGAAGGAAAGAAGGATGAAGAAGAGGGAAAGGCCGCACGTTGGAGCGATATCACGATGCCCTTGAAAATATCTTCAGCTTCTTTTGCCCAGGCCGGAAGTCGGCAGAGTCATCTATCAAAAGGCTCAGGCCACTGAACAAAGACCCAGGTCCCAAGCCAAAGCCAAAAAGCAGTGAAAGAGGGAATAGGTGATTCAGCTTACGCAATGCCGATTTCACCATCAGCGAGGCCCGTGGTTGGCGGTATGGAAGGGACCCAAGCGTTCTAGCCTCTAAGGAGGGGCGTGCCGCGATCGGATCAAGAAAAGGCGTGGGGGTGCTATCGCCAGGTGGACGAGGAGCTCATGATGAGGGTATAGATGACAGTCCAAGTTCCCAATAATCCCGTGCCACTGCGAGCTGTCATGTCGTCTGAATAGGACATCCCTGCGCTTTCAGAGTAGTCCAGCGCCTGCGAGAGCCGGTATGCTGTTGGGGCCCAGCCGCACTGCCCTCTGGAGCCTGCGCGTGTAGGTGGAGAAACTGTAGATAGAGGGAGAGAGATGCACAAGTAAACAGAGGGACTTGAGGGAGAGAGGAAGGGTGGGGGCGAGCAGAGATTGGGAGGGGATCCCTATGTCAGCACCACCAGTGATTCACAGGCTTTGCGAGGCAAGACCACTAGGTGCTGTCGCTGCCACTGCCGCTGCCGTACCTGTGCTCGCCCTGCTGCCCGCTGCCACTGTGAGCACCGTCACTGCCCAGTCTTGATATCGTATCAGGCAGGCGCACCCTCACAACGAGGCAGGCGCTGTCGGCAGGTTGTGTCCTTCTACGGTAGCTCCCAACACTCTTTGGTGGCATGTCCTAGGGACCTCCTTACCAGGTAGGTACCTACTAGGTAAGGTAGGTAGGTACCTAAATAAGGTTCCAAAGCAAAGCACTCAGGCCCCAATGCCCCCTAATTGAGTCCAGTCGTTTCGGAATCACCTCTCGAACAACGGCTTTCTTCTGCAACCTGCCCAGTTGATCACCAGCGAACTAACCGGCTGACGTTTCCCCCACCAACGTCCACCCGGATCGCTCAGGTTGTGAGCTTTTACGAATGACGCCCACCGTCTGAATTTTTGGAGGCCAGGGCCCTCTACATGTACCTTTGTGAGCTCCGTTCAGACTATTCCCGGTGGCTTCCTTTTGCCAGTGTTTCAACCCACCTCCGAGTGCACGGTATCGGTGGGTGCTGGTAGCGACCAAATACCTGCTTTGACCTGTGGCAGAGCTCGAAGGGCTCGTCCAAGCACAGCTCATGATGAGAAACCTCCTCTTCCCGGCCAATCGTCCATTGTCCGTCCCCATCGGCCGGAATTGTCCATTTGCCGCGAGATTGAACGTCTCTCTTGCCCCAGACATGACGTCCCTCTGCCGAACTGGCCACTCGCGCCAACGAGGTCAAGCTTCCGGCATGGGAAGCACCGCCTTCGAGATTCCCGCCATTCTCTTTGTCTAGTCCCTGGCCACGGCATTTCGCCGGTGACAAGCTGTCCAATCCTCATCCGCTGACCAGTTCTCGACCCCCTCTCCCTGCCTTGGCTCCCCCCCGGTCGCCCCCCTCATAGTCAGGGGTACTGGATGGACTGAGCACCCTGGTTTGGTTTCTGCGAACGGCCTCTAGTCCAAAACCAGCATGGTGCGGGAACACTCCATTGCGGGCTGATGCAGGTCCCAAGAAGACGGCGTCCATTGGCGACATTGGCGAACATTGGCAACCCCTGAATTGACCCTCTGGCTTGTTCTTTTCCCTCAATCGCTTGGGAAACGACCCCGTCCATCATCCCGTCTTCGTAAGTCCACCCCATGTCCCCGGCTGCTACTTGCTCGAATCGCCACACAGAGGGAGAGACAGGGTCTCGTTGAGCGAAAGCAGCGCCAGAGCTATAGCACACACTCTTTAATAGACCACGACACCTCGGACCCCGCTGACAACCTGACGCCTCCTCACGTTGACCACGCAGCGTCTCCTCCCACATTCCTTCACTGGCATTCCTGCGCCTCACACACCGACAGCGTCGACCCGTCGTCGTCATTCTTCGCAATTCCCACGCGATCACGACTGACGCACCTTCAACCTCGACGTTCTCGGTGCTTGACGTATTGATTCGACCTTTCACGATCACTCTGCTGGGTCAGAGCTGTATCTCACACACTCATTACACTACCGAGCCAAAGGGCCGACGCCAGTCCCGACGACTACAACTACACCTCTCTTCGTTGGTCGACAACATTCAACGACGATTCTATTATTCATTCTGCTAGTCGCAATCATGTGGTCCTCACTTGTTATGCCAGCCTTTGCGCTGCTGGCGACGCTCTCCCAGAATGCCCTCGCGCAGGTCACCTCCGATTGCAACCCGATCAACGAAACTGACTGCGCCCCGAACCCGGCCTTGGGCATGGCGCATACATTCAACTTCAACGCGACGCCCTCGAAGGACCTTTGGGAAACCCATGTCGGGCCCATCTCCTTCTCTGATAAGGATGGTGCTGCTTTCACCATCACGAAGCAGGGCGATTCGCCTACTCTCCGCTCCCATTTTTACTTCTTCGGTGGCCGTACCGAGATCATTCTCAAGGCAGCTGCCGGCAAGGGCATCATCAGCTCTGTCATGTGGCTCAGCGATACCCTGGATGAGGTCGATTGGGAATTCGTTGGCGTCAACAGCACCACGGCCCTGAGTAATTATTTTGGCAAGGGAAAAGAAATCTTCACCGAAGGCAAAGATCACCCTGTCGCTGGCGCACCCGTCTGGGATGATTTCCACAACTACACCACCACTTGGACTGAGGATCGCCTCGAGTGGTTCATCGATGGCCAGTCTGTCCGCGTCCTCAACAGAGCTGACGCTCTCGAGGGCGGCAATCTGTTCCCCCAGACGCCCATGCGCCTCTACCTCGGCATCTGGGCTGGAGGCGACCCAAGACTACCCAAGGGCACTCGGGATTGGGCTGGCGGCGACACCGAGTACGACAAGGGTCCCTTTACCATGCACGTTCAGAAAGCGCATGTTCAGGACTACAGTACCGGCAAGGAGTACGTCTATGGTGACAAATCTGGTTCTTGGCAGAGCATCCAAGTTGTCGAGTGAGTTTGCACCTTGTTTCACATACTTTTGCTCGACACCTCTCCATTGTCAAGGGAAGCATTATTAACGCATCTTTTACAGAGGCAACTCGACCGTCAAGGAAACACTCCTGGCAACTCCTGACAAATCCATTGGCGAGAAGTTCGACGAGCTTCCTCAGGGCGCCAAGATTGCCGTCTACGCCGGAGGCGCTGGTGTTGCCGCTATAATCGTGTTTGCGTTGATCTTCTACATTATTCGACAGCGCCGTCGTGGAGCTCGCGAGTCTGCCGAAGCCGCCAAGAGGGCCGAGGCCGAGCGTGTCGAGCTGGACGGCTACAAAAAGAGTGGCGTCAACCCCGACGGCTTCTCTGGGCCCACAGGCATGGAATACAACGCCCGCTCCATTGGCAAGGACGGCAGCTTCCGTGAGGAGAGCTACGAAATGCCCGTCACGGCGGCCAGCCCTCTTCACAGCAGTGGTCTGCCCGAGAAGGGATGGGGTTCCACTTCGTACGGCGGCGCTGCGGGTGCGGGAGCAGCAGCCGGCGCTGCCGTTGGTTCTGCGGCCGCGATGCGTTCTCCTACCGCTCCCCTGCTTGGTCACAATGACCAGATGAGCCCTCGCATGCACAGCCCAGCGCCGTACAGTGATTCCGCATCACCACACGGCCAGCAGTTCCGCTCGCCCCTGAGGACCCCGAGCCCCGGCATGCCGCCACAGGGACCGCTCCCCATGTCGCCGAACCGAAGCGTGTCTACGCCTCAGCAATTTGGCAACCAGCGAATGGGTAGTCCGGCGCCGCCCCAACCAAACCGCAGTTTCAGCAGCAACCAGTATGGTGACGGCACAGACCAGTCGTACTGGAACAATAACGGCTACAGGTAGCGGTGTGTTGAAAATTTGCTCTTGTGACGACTTGTGTTTCTTTGTATTGCCGGTTTGCTGGATGCGCGTGGAATAGACATCATCTTCTGGAGTTTTGTCTGGCGCGGTCCACTGTTTATTTCTGAAGCTTCCCATGACTGGAAGGTCTCGAGGATGGTCGTTCTTGCCTGTCCCCATTCGGACCACGTAGCGAGATACCTGTTGAAGTTGAACTTCGTTTTGCTGGATGATATGTACCAGAGATGAATGGTATCGTTTTGATGGAATTGAACCGGATTGACTAAGTTTCGGACGTGCTAGTCACGGCCCTCCGTTCACTTCTCATTGTTGGCGTTGACGTCTAATTCTTGGTTATTCTTCTTATTCACAACGTTGTGTTGTCGGCTAGGGCCACTCCCGATCATGACTTCCTGAGACATGTCGAGCAACTTCCCTCTGCAACCGCATATCAGCCCTGCCGAGCCTGTCGTCCAACAAGCCTATAAGCATAAGTGGATGGATGCCAGCCAATTAGAGAATTTGCTTCTTCAGTTGCCACCATGTCTGTCTACCGCGGGCCGGCTTTTAAGGCTGAGTGGCGTGCGCTGTGGCCCAAACTCAAAGCACCTGGGGTAAAGATGAAGGAGGGGCTCCGATACTTTCACCCGATGAGCTATTCCATGAACTCAATCCCGACTGTAACTCGGGTCTCCTCTGACTGGGTTCTTCGTGGCTGCGAGGCTATCATTGAGGCTTGCGGAATACCAGGGGCGAAATTGAAGGACTTGACATGAAGCGGATGGTCCTATGGTGTCTGTGGTGGCCGGCACGTTTGTCAGATATACAGAGCGTCCGGTGGATTATCTGATCCGGAATGAGTGGCATGATGCAACTGCAAGCCTTGCTTCCCGGAAGCTTTCGACGTC